AGTCACTTGTTAATTTAAAAGTACATTATTTTGCAAACAAGATCCATCTTACAGGAAGCCAGCTGGTACAGAATTTAGCTTGAGCTGCCACCCAAAAAAACTAGCCTGGGAACAGACAGGCTGTTGCTATATGAACCATTCAACATGCTAACTCATGAACTTAACCCCAAGTTACTCAATTTTCCCCAAGGTTTTCACAATATACTCAACCATAAAAAGGTGGGCAGCTTTGCACAATTCACTCTGCTCAAGTTTATCTGGATAATTTATGGTTCAGTAAGTATGTGAACATAAGGCAATTAGGCATTGCAGTTAAAGCTGCTTGTTTCTATGTTGCTACTGCTTCTAAAACCAACTGAAAATGCTCGTCCAAATTGCAGTGGGTTGACAGCAGAACTGGACTAAATGAGGACTTCAGCCACCACAAGTCTTAACCCTTGCTTGGGTTTTCCTTCTCACTAGTCCCCAATCTTTTCCTTGACTTTACCAGATGTTTCACATGTGGATACTTGTAGCCCCTTCTCAGTTATCTCCTTTGACCCTTCCTTTCCTCCCTCCCCCGATGATGCCATCAAAGCTCCAATCCTACAATAATAAATGCAAAAGGAACAATTGTTTTTATGTTCCTCACTTCCTTTGTAGAAATGAAGTGGCAGTGTACTTATTTTGCAACTTAAAGGTATTTTTTAAAAAAAAATTAAGGAAAAGAAGTTTTGCAAGAAGAGGGTTGGAAAAGCAAAGGTTTGCTTTACTCGGCCTGGATAGAAATTGAAAAGATAAGAAACGAAAGGGTTGAATGCAGAGGTGGTATTCAGCAGGTTCTGGCCAGTTCTGGAGAACCGGTAGTGGAAATTTTGAGTAGTTCAGAGAACCAGTGGTAATCTTCCCCCAGGAGTGGGGAGGGAATGGAGATTTTGCAATATCCTTCCCCTGAAGTGGGGAGGGAATGGAGATTTTACAGTATCCTTCCCCTGCCACACCCACCAAGCCACACCCACCAAGCCACACCCACCAAGCCATGCCATGCCCACCAAGCCATGCTCACAGAACCGGCAGTAAAATATTTTAAATCCCACCACTGGTTGAATGGAGTTGCATTTTTAAGTTTAAGGATAGTCCATTGACTTAACCTGAACAACTAGAGCAGGGCAGTTTTTTCCCGAACACCATCACTCTGCTAAACAAATAATTCCCTCAAGACTGTCCAACTATTTACAAAGTCTGCATTACTATTACTATTAATCTTCTCATCACTCCTTATCACCCATCCCCTCCTACTTGTGACTGTATGACTGTAACTTTGTCACTTGTATCCTTATGATTTATATTGACTGTTTCCTAGTATGATTTGATTGCTTGTACCCTATGACTATTATTAAGTGTTGTACCTGATGATTCTTGACTCTTGATGAATGTATCTTTTTTATGTACACCGAGAGCATATGCACCAAGACAAATTTCTTGTATGTCCAATCACATTAGCCAATAAAGAATTCAATTCAATTCTGTTCTATTCTATTCTTAACAGGCTAGCACTTGATCTCCTGCTAAGCATCAGAAAACAAAAGTCTGATAATTCAGGGTGAAATGGCCAATACCCAGAACAGTGGCCAACCACTGGAGGAGAACAGACATGCTAGGCATGAAGCCAGTGGGAGCTGGGGCTGCTGTTAAAATAAAACAAAGTACTGAAGAAGAGTTTACAGCAGCTCAGATTGGGAAATAACAGTTCTGAATTGAAACTCAAACATATATCGTAGTAAAGGTGTGGGGTGCACTGAGATTGAGATAGGGACAAATTCAGCTCTTTCTGTACTCAGGTAGCAGTGAATGACCCATAAGAGTGATAGTTCTCAGTCTTGCGGGATTGTCCAAATAAGATGTACATCCAGAAGTACTAGCTCTAACTTTATTGTAAGGTTACACTCCCTGAAACTTGCAAGTCTGAAAATACATCTCTTCCCTCCCCCACCTTTACAGTCCAAGATTCTATGGAGGGTGCCTTCTGAAATGCTTGCCATGCCCACATTCCTTTTGCAGGCTAAGTGCCACGTATAGAACTGTTGCCCTGGCTCTGGCTCTACCCCATGTATCTCAAGGTTATTTCCACATGCTGTTACAATAGGCACTGGAGAAAGGCTCCCAAAAGGGACATCTTTGCTTCTAGGTGTCCCACAAAGGACCTGATTTGCATTGGCTCATTTCCTTTGCTCATTTCCTGCTTTGCATTGGCTCATTTCTTTTTCAACTTAAGGCTTCACCCAATGAGTTTTAATGCAACTGAGTCTATATTCTGAATTCTGGAACTTCATTTATTCATTCTTATTTAAGGCTGTAAAACTTACAACAACTGAAATCATTGAACAAAACAGATCAGCTTCCAAATTCTGTTGTGCAGAATGATTAAAGTAATTTAAAAACAAGGCTGCTTTCACTGTATTTTAATTACAATAACTCCTTTGATATCTGACTTGTTTTACCTGATTGGCAGGGTGAGTGGCTAGAACATCCATATTTAAGTTATATGAATAGTGGAAATTATTAAAATATCTGTATGGTAGCACTTTTGATGGTGACATCAATCTTGGTAAGACAATGCCTTGAGGTTCATAAACACATTCACATTTTTCTCAGTAGGTGGTGCTAAATTTTGAACATTTGAACATTGTACTGACTTCTTGCTTGATAAGGGTATATATCTTTACTTTTTAATATATTTCATATATATGTTTATGTGTATGCATGTATGTATATATGCTTACCTTTTGCATATATAGATATTCAAGATTTGTTTGGTAACTAAGCTATGTAGTCAAACTTAGCTGTCTCATATAATGGAGCTAAAAACCTATGTATATACAAGTCTCAATGTTCCCACTAAATGAAAAACAACTGTATGTAATTGAAATCAACAGAGCTTATATTTTAACAAAAGCTGAACACCAAAGGTGCTTTAATTGTGGAGTTCAATTTGAGAACCGACCATGAAAGTCAAGACTCTTTGATATTTTGCAGCAAGTTCTCATCTGGTCATAAATGGCACCTGTGGGAACGGGAGCCAAACATCATGAAGGAATGTCTGTCTTTTATGTGCTTGTGGAAATCATCCCTCTGCCCCCAAAGAAATGGCTTCTACCTCGTTACATTGAAAAGAATGCGAAATTGGGTTTCTTTATCAATAGGATTTACTTTTGATAACCTGCAGTCCCTGGAATTGTTTTGTAATGGCTTCATTAATTTTTCTGCAAGATGTAATGCCTTCATTAATTTTTTTACAAGAAACCTCTTTATCAGAAATCCTTGTATTCTTGAATGCCTCTCTGCCTATTTGCAGACTAGCTTTCCAAAGAAGTTTGATTGTCTCATGAAGAAGGAGATGTCTGCGTATTATAGTGATGCAAATGCTTTTTCTTAGAATTCTAAGCGTGAATTGCTTGCAACAATCCAAATGTCACCTAGTTTTAAAAGCACAATGTTTAGCTGTTTTGTTTTGCTTTTGCTTTTGCTTTGCTTCCTGTTGCTTTTCCTAGAGTGCCTGGTTAAATCAAGCAACCTCAGCTAATAAAGAGTAGATAAAAGGATCAGCTCTTCCACAGAATTGGCTAGTGTGGCTGATTTTGTTATTCAATGTAGTGTTTGCCATGTGATGCTCCATCTGGTGTATCATGTCCCATATCTCATATCTATAGGATGCTACTAGTACTAAATTCATGTCAGGAGTACCGAAGCACTTCTGGGTTGAAAGGATTGAAAAGTGACATGACCATTGTCCAGGGGATGCCTAATTGGGGGGCCCTTTCATGTCCAAATTAAATTGCCCATCAAAGGGGTACCCATCTATCTACTTGCGGTCTCCCGCCTTCAAACTGCTGGGTTGGCAGGAGCTGGAGTGTGTGACAGAAGCTCACTGCATCCCACAGCAGCAACCAGATTTTGAAACACAGAAAAAGAACTTCTTTGCAATTGTATTGCACCAATAGATACAAAGAGGCCATTGCAAATATCAACAGGGAAACCACAAACCCAGCAGGGATCCTTGAGATAAAGTATAAGATAAGGGGTACGATAGAATAATATACAGCTATTCTTTGAAAAAGATCAGTTAGTTTGTTTTACTGGCTGTGGTTTGCTATCATTTTTAATTATTACTCTTTAATTATTACTTCTTCTAAGAAGAAGAAAACATATATGTCACGTAAATGCACAATGGGAGTAAGGCTTTATGTCAGGTGCAAACATAATGAGAAATTAGTATTTCTGCCATCTTGAAGCATCCCATCAAGCAAGGGGGCATTGGTGCATCCCTAAAGAGATAGAATGGTAGCCTTTCTTTTGATCCTTGAGAACAAAGAATCCACAATTTAAATTATTCATTTCATATATACAGTCATTATTTGCATTTGTTTCATCTGAACCCTTTTTTTAAGCTTACACACACACACACACTCACACAAAGAGCTGCTAGCAATGCCAAAGGAAACATTTATAAATGACTGCACACATATCTTGAATGGCAAAGTAAATTATTTTTAAAATATTTAATAAAGGACAGGAGGCACAACTCTAACCACTTTTCAAGTTTTGTTTTCTCCTTAAATCTAGAGGGAAAAAACTGACCCACACAAGTCCATATACTGATATGTTAATAGCTTGATTTTGAAGGGCTACATGTTTTTTTTTCTCATCAAAGTAAAGCAATAGATTTGATCCATGATAGTGCAGTACGTACCATTGTTGAACATGTCAATTTTTGTTGGATTTACAAGATTGGATCTAAGATTGGCCCCACATCTCTGTGTCTCCAGAATACCTTTAGACTTAGAGAAATCATCAGCTGATAAGTTGATTCACTTCCAGTTCGGCTATTTTGCTACGTTTGCTCTGACACTATGGGGTGGACAATTTTCCATACCACCCTTCTTCCTAAAGTGCAAAGGCTTTGCCATTCTTTCCCACCCAACCATCCCAATTTACACAGGCAGTGGGTTTTTTCAGCCTCCATGTTAAAGACATTAAAAGGGAAGTGCGCAGGTTGGTGCACTGGTTTTTCATCTCCCACTTTGGCCAACTTGTCATTCTCTTGCTTCCTTATCTTCTCCAGCCCCAGAGAACATCAATAAAGAGACCTGTGCAGTGGTTCAAATCCTCTTCAGAAGAATGATCCTGATGGCAGGATGCCTGGAGATAACTGCTGGTTACCTAAATGTGGGACACAGTGGCATTAATGCCTTGCCTTGCCTCCCCTTGTCTAGAATAATTACAGCTATATGTTCAACTGAACCTGATGTGGTGATTTGTGCTATCAGGTCTTCCTTTGTAAATAATAGCTGTGGGTTTCCTTCCGGAGTGGAGGGGCATAGAGAGAACCGTTTGGAGTGGGTGGGTTAGCTGCTGGGTAGTGGCAGCTTGAAGCGTGTCTTCAGTCCCAGAGTTTTGTCAATGACTTCCACAGGCTGCAGACTGTGCCACTGTGCCATAGGCCTGCGAGGATTAGCCAGCATATCTGACCAGTGGCGCAACTGGTTCCCTGTAGCTCGGCAGCTGAGAAACAGCTTTCCGATCTGGTCATCCTTGGTCACTTTGTCACGATCCCAGACTGAGATCACCAGGTCTACATTCTAGAATGAAAATTACAAAGCAGAGAGATGAGAAGACAAAAAGGAAGGGAAAACAAAGGAGAAAGATGGTTTTTACAATGCAAACAGAGAAATCTCATATCTCCTTACAAGGCGTTCTCTGCATGGAGAACATTTCGGGGAGTTCATGCCTTTTTAACATTATAGTTTTTGTCACTTTATGTCCCTCTTTTGTGCTCACATACATTATTATTTCTCAAATGTCTGCCCAAATCCTGCTTAAAAGAGCTGCATAATAAAGATTCATGGATAAGGACTTTAAACTTTCCACGATGTCTTGCGATGCACCCTGGCAAAATAACACTTACAATGCTACTGCAAGATGTCAAAAGAGCAGACTCCTCTAACCCTATTTGACACCATTATGGTAAGTGTTAAATATGGTGTTGATATTTTTCTTTCTTTCTTAGTTATTATGTTAATTTAGTTTAGTTAATAGCTTCTTGTAGCAAAAGAGAAGCACAGTAGCAGGAATGAAGTCACAATAAGAACCAAAACAGACTTCAGTACAAGTGTTCCTCATTTAACGATTGTTATTGAGATCAGAATTTCCATTGCTAAGTCATGTGGTCATTAAGCAAGACATTACATGACTGCAACAAGACATCCATCATGACTGGTAAGCAAAGCACCCATAATAGCTAAGTGAGACATGAGGTGATCACGACTTGCAATTTTACTGCTGGCTTCTCCATCGGCTCTGCTTGATGGAAGCCAGCTGTGAATCAGGGAAATAGTGATCACATGACCACTGCAATGGTTATAAATGCAAGGAACAGTCCTAAAGTTACTTTTCCATTGTAACGTCAAACATTTGTAAACAGGGCAGTCATTAAACAAGGACTGCATAAGAAGATACATTTTTACAGCAGGCTTAAGTAAGGTGAGCTCAAAAACTTCTGCAAAAGCAATGATGCTTCTAGAGATTATTTTGTTCTCCAGTAACCTGGTTCTGCTATGAAATGGCTTCTCTTGGGCCTACCTGGATCAAGTTGAAAGGCACTTCAAAAACAAACGCTTCATTGAAGTAGGGGCTTAATGTGTTTTTCTTCACACTTGTCTTCTTTTTCTTCCATTTCTTTTTGTTCAGAATAAGTTGCACTTTGACATATGGGTCTGGTGTGGAAAGTAAAAGCAAAGAACAGTTGAGGCAATTTAATCCAAAAAGAATTTTCCCCAGACATTAAAGTGTTTCCGAATACCATATTGCAAGCTTTTGGATCTCCATAAAAAAATATTAACTCAAATATTAGCTCCTTTATTATAAAGCTTGGTGGTTCTGCCAGCAGCCTTGTAGCTTGACTAAGTATTTGGCATGGAAGAGGGGAGAAAAACACTGAACCTCCATGAAAAGGTCATCACGAAACTGTAATGTTGTTGTGAGTTTTTGGGAGAAAAATATAATTCATCCCCACCAGCTTTCACAACCAAAACAAATCGTATTACTCAAATGTTATATGGTTCCCTTTCCTTAAACAAAAATAGCAATAGCACTTAGACTTATATTCCGCTTCACAGTGCTTTACACTCCCCCTCTAAGCGGTTACAGATTGCTCCCAACAATCTGGGTCCTCATTTTACTGACCTCGGAAGAATGGAAAGTTGAGTCAACCTCGAGCCTATCAGGATTGAATTCCTGGCTGTGGCCAGAGTTTGCCTGCAATACTGCATTCTAACCACCGCGCCACCACAGCTCTTACAAAAATCAGAGTAATCTCCTTTTGTTCCAGTGATCAGGAGGAATTTGATAGCCCTTCTTTTCTGACTAACAAATTTTTAACAAAAGACATTAGCTTTTCTAACCTGCAGCTCATTTCATCAGGTACATAGATCCACCTATGTCTCTGATGAAATGAACTACAGCTCATAATAGCTCTTATCTTTTAATGAAACGTGTTAGTCAGAAAATCAGATTCCTTCTGATTTTTGGTTAAGATAGATAGATAGATAGATAGATAGATAGATAGATAGATAGATAGATAGATACAGTTCTCCTATCTCTCTTCCACATCACTGTGATGCCAATAAACAGCAGCTATGACAAAACTCACCCCACTTTCATGATGCAAGAGAGGATTGTAGTTTTTACAACAGAGTTCCATGCCATGTTATATCTTCCCTGCTGCCAAGATCAGCAGTAATTCAAATCAAGAGAGCTAATAGGGGCCTTCACATGTGTCAAATTGGGGGCCCTGCGGGCCGGATGAATCACGCCATGCCCATCCCAGCTCCACAAATGGGGAAAATGTCACAAAATGTCACATGACAGCAACATGATGCAGCGAATTTGACGTCCGTGCAAAGTTTAGACAAAAGAGATTGAAAATATAATGGGACTCTGGGATCCATTTCAGCAACATGCATTAACAGGCTCTAAATCAGCATGATATTCCTCTGCTCTCCACAATGAGCCTTAGGAATCTGTCCTTCATACCTGATAATCCATCTGCATCCATAACCTTGAGCTTTTTGGCTTCCAAGATAACTACCGTTAATTTGCTGGTACTGGGGACATATCGCAGTGAGAAGCAGATTTCTCCAAGGTGCTCTTGCTGTGAGAAACAAAAAACACAGGAAAAGCCAGACTGATATACTGAGAAAAGATAAAGGGATGAAGCCAAAAGTTGTTCTAACATAGCTCTAAAATAGGAACACTCTGAGGAATACTTTGAAGCAATTAGTGTTGCTCCAGAAATCATTTTTCTAAGCCCAGAAAAATGGAGAACTATACCATTGACACCACAGAGGTGAAAGTATTCTTAATTAACCAACTTAATAGGCACCAAACTATTTTCTGCTGTAACAACCTTAATTCGTTTTTTTTAAAAATGTTTTTGTTTAAACTTGGGCAAATTCAACTTAAGTCAAGCGACGTATGAAGGATGATGTCTATGATCAGACTTCCAGTCTTTAATAAAGGTTGACATCATTTATTTGCATCCATGAGCCATTGGACACTTAGGACTAATGGGCAGAAATATGAAGTGGAGAGTCTTCCCATGCTGTCCCTGTTGCTGTGCTTAAGAGACAAAAGGTATGTTCTCCTCCTCCTTTTCTTGGGTTTTACTCTCTGAGTGAGGCTTTTCTGTAGTTCTTAACAAATCTTGTTTTCTTGCAAACATTTCAATACCCTAACTAGATTAACATCAGCAGCTCAGGGAGCACCAAGGACCCCTCAAATCTAGCTTTTAAATCAAATGTGGTGAATGTCTGCTTGCATTTGTCCTCTGCATCCACAACAATGATATTCTTTTTTGGTTAGGAGTAGTGTTTTAAATGGGGTGTCCTTCTGCTTAAATCACTTGATATCGTTTCAGTGCTCTGCTTAAGTTAATAGGCAAATACTTTCGAACAGCCTTCTGCTGACTTCAGATGACCAGCAGAGGGCTCCACCCTTAAAGTGCAGGAAAGAGGAGGTTTAAGCCTATCCTTGAGCCATTTTTCTCCCGTTCACATCCCTCGGTCCCATCCTTGTGTGGGTGTTATTAGCATCACTAGCAACTGGCATTTTCCAAGCTGGCAACTTTGGAAAATGAGATGGGAAAGTAGTTTTGTTTCTCTGAAGCACTATACACACAGCAAAAAGGGTGATCTGATCAAAGACCTCCTACTATACACATCTACTATACATCTATGTTAATTGAAAACCTTGGAAGGGAAATTAGGTATAATTTGAAAAATATTGTTTCTATTCCAATGGTATGTCCAAATATCTGTTTTTAAATAGAATTTCCCATTTTTTTTTATCCCACAAAGTGAATGCATTAGGTTCACACGCTGCACTGATCTAGGAGTTTGTTTAAATCATTAATTGTTGAATAAGACATAAAGGCTGGTTTCTTATATACTATAAAGCATAAACCATGTTGACCAATTATAATGGCTATCGTTACACTGCATGAAAAATAATCAATGAAACTACATTATAACTTGATATATAAACCATGATTATGAATCCAACCAATTGCATGTTGATTCATTGAATAAGAGTGTGTGTCTGTGTGTAGACAGATACACACACATAAACATACCCCATACAAAGTTCACAATTTGTAATATCACAAGCTTCAACCAATCATTACCATGAGCAGCTGCCTGTGTGTTGCCCATCAGTAAAATCCATGCTCTGGGCAATTGATCCCAAAGTGAATATGGTTTTCTTGAACAAAACGTAACATTACTGCTCAATGGCCTCAGCACACAAACTTCATTAAACCATTCATATTCAGCCTGAAATATTATCAGTTCCCTGGTAATATAATTGCTAATAGCGCCCTCTAGGGGATATTCCATTTCTACATCAGTAATAAAACTATTAGAATTGTCTCACAGATGTCAAGGTGCTGTCAAGCTAGCATGCTCACAAGCCAAGAATACTTATTTTTATTTATTCACTTCTGAGATTTGTATACTTCCATAAGCCTACTGATGATCGACAACAGCAACCCAATTATTTTAATGAGCTTAGGGAATGAAATGTGCTTCTTTCTATCTTGGAAAATTGATGTTCACTATCTTTTGATTAAAATGGATTTCAAGGGAAAGAAAGACAATCTGTCTCCAAAGATATAATAACATCTACTATCAACATATGCTGAATTCAAATGAGATGTCTTCAAACAGCCTAGATTGATGATCAAGAGAGACCACACTTGGTTTGATATATACTACAATAGACAAAGAATCCATTATTTATTGAACCCTTTCCAAATGTTTCCCTTTTTGGATGTGACTGTTTAGTATCCCTTATTATAAAGTGAGTGGACATTAATGCAGTTTGGACCTTGTCTCCATGGTGTTGCCCTTATCTTCTCCCTCACTAATGGAGGAGATAAGCATCAGCTATCATCAATTACGTTGGTATAATAATAGAATTTTCTCTTTAATCCAAAAACTATTCAAGAACAGTTTTGATATGTGCAAGTGTCATGCCCCTGGTAGAGACTGACTCTGAGGGAGAGGAGGAACAGCTGAGAGGGAGTGGAAGTGTGGCTCCGGAGGTTGTGGAGGAGGCTGGGGAAGGGCAGAGGCCGGCTGGGCAGTTAGAGGAGGACCCAGGCCCATCCTCTCTCCATCCTAGGGCACGCAGGGAGGAGAGGATAAGGGAGAGACGTTGTCTACTGGGGAGGAGAGGACCTTGATCCTCTTCATGGGCTGCAGCTGTGACAACTGGATAAAAGGACGGACATGCGTACAGGCGAGTGCTGGAAACAAAGCATGGAAATATCTCTAATTTATGGCTCCTCTATGAGTTTGGCGTCCTTCCCCAGTGTGTGTTCTGATACCTGTGGACATCTTCAAGCCCTTATCTTGCCTGGTTTGTGTTGTTTTTTTACTCTTTATAATTTAAATGGCATTTCTTCCTTCCTGTAACTGCTTCTGTGAGAGTTTTTTTTGTCTCCAGTCAAGGATATTTGGAGCTTGGAAGCAAAGTGAAGGAATAAAAGGGGCTTCACCTGTTTTTTGTGACTGTGTTTATTTTGTATCCCATCCTGGGTCATCCCAATAAAATGTTTCATCTTGAAAGGTAAGTTAGGAGGCTAGAGGTACAGAGAAATAGTGCAGTTTGGGAGTGTTGGAAGCATAGACATCTCATAATCACCCCTACAATCATGAATTACCTCCACCTCAGTCATTTCTCCCTCAGCTTTTTAAAATGCCTTCTTTTTTTCCTGACTTCTGTTTACATCTATCCAGGCTTTGAACAATGCAGAGAAAAAGAGAACACTATTTCACTGAGAAAAGAGTGTGTGTGTGGGGGGGTGAGTTTATGTTCATTTGCTATCGTTCCTGTATTGGTTGGTCTCGTGCCTTCTTCCTTCCAAAATCAAGAAGACAGTTTCAGTTCTCCCACCCTATAGAATCTAAACTTTCAAATCCCTCAAACCCTGAGCCTCTATATTACATTATTTAAACATAATAATAGGGTAACTTTAAGAAATTGCTATCCAACCATTACCACAAGATTCTGTGGATGTTGGAAGACATATTGGAGATAAAATGTGAACGTTCCAGTGGACAACTTTTCTGGTATAAATGTTTTGTAGATTTGTTGAGCCATTATTGCAGAGGTCTATAATGAATTACTTAAATCCAGTAAATTGTCTTTGTCTTTTTATGAGGCTTCTACAGCACTGATTTTAAAAGCAGGTAAAGATTTTGAGCTTTGTACAATTTATAGATCCATATGGTAGGTGCAAGAATATTTATTGCTTTTTGTCTAGATGATTTCAGAGAGCGTCACCATGCATAATTCATCCAACTTGGTCTGGACTTTTCAAAACCAGACAGTATCAGATAATTTACACTCATAAATAGATATGTTATACCTCGAGATAAATTGGATTCTGGTGTATTAATGTTTTTGGATGTTGAAAAAAAGTTTAGACATGGGTAAACTTAACTTTTTTAAGCAAGACATACGTAGGGATGGATTCCCAACTTCTTTTATTAAATGGATTGAAATTTATTATTTGAAACCAATAGTAAATGTAATAACATTTTTAATTTTTAGACCAGTTGAGTTATCAGATGAGTTATAGTATAGCAGCTGTCATGGTTGCCCAATTGCTCCATTGGTTTGTGACCTAATTCTTGAGCCATTAACAATTATTCTGAAGCAATCTTATCATATTACTGGTATTACACTGGCAAATACCATGCTATTTAGATTCAGAATTTAATTATTTTACATGTTGCTGATATTTGAACAATATTGTACAAATATTCTCACTTATTGCCTCACTTGATTGATGGTATATATTCAAGTTACAAGATTAATTGGGACAATCTAATTTACTTTCTTTGGAATCTGATTTATAAACAGGTCCATATAAGTTGTTGGTCTTTGTAATTACAAAATGTATTAAATATTTTGATTTATATCATTTTAAAAACATCTCAAAATATGTGGAAATTAGTATATTGAATGTTAAAGGTAAGATTCTGATGGCTAATGGATGGAGTTAAAATCCATTAAATTTAATGTTATTAAAATGAATATTACAATCTAATAGATGCATATTTTAAGATATGCACTGTTGTTAATTCCAAATAATTATTTTATTCAGATCAAGAGACTATTGGAAAATTTATATCAGGAAAATAGACTACCAGGAATTGTAGTGGCTAAGCTGAAATTATCTTTGATAAAGTAGTTTTAGTTTACCAGAGTCTCAAAAGTATCACTAGACATTCGTGTTATCATTTATATTTATGCAGAATGAGAATTTAACTAACTACCAACAATTATAAGTTCTATTGAAAAGTTGTTATGTATTTCTATTATGATCTTAGCAATTATTTAAATCAGCTCCACATAGCAAACACAGTCCTTCATTTCCTGGTCAGCAAGCAAGTAGCTATAATTGTGACCATCCACTAATCTCATGAATATTTATTTTATGGAAGAAGTCTACTGTAAACATAAGAAGCAAGACTTTCTATTGGAAAGTATAGGCAGACACTGGAATAATTACTTTGAATTAATTACAGAAATGATTATTTGAAGGAATGTCAACAACTTCAGGTAGAATTTTCTTTGCCTAATACA